ACTTGTGTAGTTTATTTATTAATGTCATAACGTGAACCTTAGTTATCTCATGAACAAATTCGTTTTCTGTCATTAAAAAGTAGAAGAAAATTTACTGCTCTGTTTGTGGGTAACTGGAACATGAGAACATTTTTATGGAGTACAGAGGTGAATTATTACCAGCTGATGGTAAGCAGTAAGCAGTTAATGAGCTTTGTTATGAAAGCTGTTACAAGTGCGTTGCTGGCCTTGGTGGATGCCCAAAGATGATGGCCCTAGGCCAGAAATAGATTTCACGAATGATGATGAAGGTAATGGAAATGAAGATAAAAACTACATAATAAATGGACAAGCTGGTCATAAATCTAAAATAAAAAAAAAAGAAACGTAGGAAGTTTCTGATATTTTTGTTAGTGACAAACAAACAAAAATTTCAACTGTATTATTAATACTAAAGATAATATTGGAAGTAACTATTTCATTTAGAATGGGAGGTCTCCAAGGGCCACACTACCAGTTTTGTTGCGCAAAATATTGGTATCCGGGGTACAAAAACTGTCCTTGGAAATAACCATGAGCCCAATCAATGGTAGGTACGTGCATGATGAAATAATTCATGATTTACATACTTGTAGGCACTGGTGAGAGTATTTTTTATGGACGATTAAATAATTAAGAAGTTCGTTGGTTCAAGGATTTCTTCTACTTAAGCTTAAATGTGAATATAGTACACTGATTTTTGGTCACCTCAAAACACTCTGGCGATAGTAGTTAGCTCCGAAAGGTTGTACGACGGAAACACAAAAAGAAAAAAGTTAATTTCACCGCGAAAAAAAACAAGTGACATGTATAGATACAAGTGCAGCATAGGAGTCGCGGAGAACCTTACGGGTAACCGGGGCTCCGGCTCGACGTGCAGGAGAAGGAACGGGGTGGTTTTTAGTCAGTAAGAGTCTGACACGCCCTTCCGCCTCACCCAGGCGGGAGCAGTCATTCGATGATTTATCCCCTTAAAAAAAAAAGTGCAGCATAGGACGTTCATCCGCAAGGTCGACAGACGACCTGATCAAGGTCGCAGTGAGCCGCTGGCTGCAGGTAGCTTCCAATTGGCCTACCTGAAAGTCGTTGGGGGAGGCCTATGTTCAGCAGTGGACGTCCTGTGGCTGATATGATGATGATGATGTTATACAGATGAATTATTCTATTAGTAGGTGCTGATGGATACATCATGTTCATGTCCCAAGTCTGCCGTGAAATGGAACCATTTCAGTTTGTGCAAGACAGAGCCTTGCGCTGACGGCTTTACTAAAGAAACAAGGCCAGGTAAAATCGCACACTAAGCCAGAAACCTGAAATTTGGAATTACATATTTCATTTATCTAGTTAACGATACCAACGAGTCGGTGGAACTAGAACCTCTAAAGTTCTAGTTACGCAGTTCCCACCCTAAGGTGTTGGATAAAAACTGCGTAATTAGTTTTTTTTTATAATTTGTGATACAGGTATGCACGATGGTACAGTGTTACACCATAGCTTGATGTTTATATATTCGTGTAAAAGAACGGAACTACGGAATTATCATCATTGACAAATTATTGTATAATATCGCAGACAATTCCGATAGATGTTAGAACTTACGTATATAATAAAATTATACTACCTGCCCCGGCTTCGCACAGGTGCAATATGCATGTATTATACATATAAACTTTCCTTAAGAATCACTCTATCTATTATAAACAATCCGCATCAAAATCCGTTGCGTAGTTTTAAAGATAAAGCATACATAGGGACAGACAGACGGCGGATAGTGACTTTGTTTTATACTATGTAGTGATTACATTACATCTTTATTGGAATCTTTTTCAAAAGAGTATATCCGAGAGATACACCTCAGTATATCTTGCACGTCAAATGAAATCTATAGATGTATTGTCAACATGAAAAGAATCGTTAATTTTAAGGACTAAATAAATGTATTTTTGGTAGCTTTCAGAGAGGTGATAAAATCTCAGACAGCGGAGCCTACGTTAGCCTGTTTTATTTAAAAAATGTTATATTCCATTTCTACCCTTTGAGTATAGAGCCCTCAATAACCTATATTTACGCTCTAAAACACGTGTAGTTTGTTTACCAAAGTTCATCATAAATTCAATGTTTATAATATTTTGTTGCTTGTCACTCGTGTTACTCATTTAATAAAATACGTCATCAATCAAAGTTATACGAAAAAAATATTTACGTTGTTAATATAAACCTTGATTTATTAGTATTAATTCATTTTAATCGCTCCATTATTAATGTTCACGTTTCAAATCCAGTTTGGATGAGCACGAGAGTTCAAAGTGTAACTAGCTACGTAGTTCCTATCAAACTGGATAGATGGCGTTACGTGTATCAAAATTCTCTTCGTACTCGCAGTGATTTTTTTTTTTTAAGGGGGGAAAATCATCGAATGACTGCTCCCGCCTGGGTGAGGCGGAAGGGAGTGTCAGACTCTTACTGACTAAAAACCACCCCGTTCCTTCTCCTGCACGTCGAGCCGGAGCCCCGGTTACCCGTTAGGTTCTCCGCGACTCCGAATCGGCATCGGCCCTATTGGGCCCCATCTGTGGTGGTCTGATGGCTCTTTGAGGCGCGCGCGGAACGCGACGTGCCTTACGCTCGGGTCTGTTTCTGGTCGGACGAGGAGCCACCCATGCTCGCCGTCCGCAGGCCCGCGCTTACGGTGGCCGGAGATCGTCCCGCGATCCCCGACGCCCGGTGTGTCCTTCGCGATGGCTGGGTTGCGAGGAGGCAGCGCTTCGCTGCCTCACGCGTCCCGCCTCCTCCTTAGCTAGCATGACTGCTTCGCAAAAGGAGGAGACGGCATCCCAGTCCCCCTCGCTCCGCATCATGGCCTGCACTAGGCCCGGACGCGAGAGGTCGCCATCGCCGATCACTTCCCTGAGGGCACGGCGGTGCTCAGCCCACGCATACTCGCAGTGATACAGTGTGATAAATTCCATGATTTGATTTAAATTATTTTTAAAACAAAACTGCTCAAAGTTTGTGATGAATATCGTCAAATCACTTTATTAATTCATTAAAAAAGCTGCACTAAATAAAAGGCATGATACATTAAAAATGTATGAAAACATGATATTATTCTGTAAGCAGAAAATAGACATAGTGCCTAAGAAATGTTCTTAAGCAATGCATCATCTAACCATGACTTCACTTTACTTCTAATTAAGAGATAAATGCTCACTGTAGTCGCAACTTGACGACTTCCCTGTAACGTTGATGTCACAATGCACCTTTTTGTAGATGGCGAACAAAGGTGAGTTATTTAGTTCTAAACCTAGTAATTACAGTTTTATTGCAGGCCATACATTAGAACCTTAAGACTAGTTATGATTAGCTGTTTTATGCGTTGTGTGAGTTTATTTATTATGTTTTCATTTTTAATCAATAACAGAAGTATTGCTTTCTGAGATATTGTTAATAGAATTTCTGAGAGTGGTGACAGTCACAGGGAGCTGCTGCAGTAGCCGATCGCTTCCATTTAGCGTTTCAATTTTGATTTTATTAGTTTTTTCAATTGTTGATTCAATTGGGTAGTTGTCAACTAGTCAAATTCAATATACTTATTTCTTAAAAATATGATGGATAAATAATAAAATTAAGTTGATGTTAAATCAATGAATGAAAGTTCGATTATTTTTCAATATTTTATTGTATTGAACAGTCGAAATAATTGCAATTAATAATTGCGACTGCACAGTTGGTATGGTGGCTGGGCAACAGACTGGCTGCCGTGCAACGTGTCGCGTGTTCGATTTCCTCACGGAGCAACTTGTTGTTCTGCATATTGTTGTAAACACCCACGATACAGAAGAAAATTCTAGTGTAGAGCAACGTTTAAAAGAAAAAAATAAATAAATAAAATATTTTTGATTAAGAAAAGTACCCAATTGTAGAAAGACGTATGTACGTTCAGTAATGGCTAAGGTGATACGACGATTATTTTCTATGTGGTCTAATACTCTCCTTTTAGGTCTTCACACAGTAGCTTGTTGAAATTTATCTTCTTCTTTTTTGTTCATTTTTTGTGACTGCCCAAAAATCGTCCTCACATTTTTCCACCCGGATGAGGTGAAAGAGAGTGTCAGAATCTTACTGACTAAAAACCACCCCGTTCCTACTCCTGCCCTTTGAGTCGGAGCCCCGGTAACCCGTTATGTCCTTTGCAGCCCATTTGTCTCTTAAAATCCACGTTTCAAGTTGTGGTTTAAGTCCAATTGCCATTTTATTGACAAGTCAATCAATCTTTCATTTAAAAAAAAAACGTTGCCCCACATTATGATTTTCTCCTGTATCGTGGGTGCGTTTACAAACATACAAGTTTACATACACAATGACACTCAGACCCAAAACAACTATTTATGGATCACACAAAGTGTTGTTCCGTGCGGGAATCGAACCCGCGACACATTGCACGGCAGCCAGTTGCCCAGCCACCGCACCAATCGTGCAGTCATGTCTTACAAAGCCCAGTTAACATTAAAACAAACAGTCATCGAAACAATTTTATTCATATCGTTGATTATTTTCCGACCATCACGTGCAGGGTTGTTAGTGAAACAATTTTATTTAATTATATTGACTCGAACTTGAACTTTTATAGGTGATTAAATAGTGTTAACATTTCACGTAATTTGTTCAGATATACTAGCAGTTTGCCCCGACTACACCTGGGTATTATTTCCTGATGTTCCCAGAAAACATAGTACATTTTGATGATTCATTTTCATTCGTATGAATTACGATAATTTTTTGGTTGGCTCTTGGATATTTCCTCTTGGTTCTATTGGTTCCTGACCATATGCTTTGTACGTAGGTTCTTGTTAACTTCGTCTCCGAACAAACATACGATACAAGCAATAATTTCTTCTATAACAATAATCTCCTAAGTATCTATTGTAAGTATAAATATAGTAGTGCAGATATATGCATTGAGCACTTATTGTTTAGCAGTCATGATTTTTGCAGTGCTCATTGTGTTATTCTGTGCGTTGCTCGCGTTATGGAACAAATTGAAACCGCGTGGTCCATCGCCTCCAGTTTATCCAGGAGCATTACCGATAGTAGGACACGCTCATCAATTATATGGAGATCCTATATGTAAGTTGAATTTTCATACATTGGATGCTATAACTCTTGAGTAAGATCTTCATCTTATTCTCTTGGGCTCACGCGTGGAGCGTTTTGATATGGTTGCAAATCAGTAAGTGGCTATGAGTTGTGCTATCTTTAATGTGGAGGTTGTAAGTGCCGACTAAGTGTAAAATATTTAGAGATTGAGCAACATCGCTCTCTAATAAACTCGCTTTTAAGTGTGGGCCAGGTCGACTGGTGTGATACCACGGCCTCACAGAAAACCGACATAAAACAATACTTGTTTCGTTGTATGATTGAGGTTATCGAAGGACCAATTACTCCCCCCCCCCCCTTCTTCAATCTCCTCAATCCCTGAATCATCAACAATCCGCAAGGTAACGCACTTGTAACGCATCTGGTGATTCAGGTGTCCGGTGTCCGGTCAGGTGTCAGGCGACGCCGATTGCTTACCATTATGTAATTCGTCAGCTCGTTTACCGGCTGAAGCTAAAGAGGGAAAGAGGAGAGTGTTACGCGCTGTCGCTGTTGTGGGTATAGATCTTTAAATGCCTTATAGTCCTTTTCGTTCTTTTAAGGAATATGAGCTACAGAAAGTTTACTCCTAGAAACTAAAATGGTCGTGTGACTAATTTTTTACTTATTAAGTCTAGTCGGCTTATTGCGCTTACCGCTAAAACCTTTATAATCAATAAATCTAATCATAGTATTTATGTTAGGATAGGTTCATTTAAATAATGACCGTTTTCCAATTGTCTAGCTTTCTAGAACAATGGACCGACCGAACGACTGATTATAATCTACATATTTCGGTGCCAAAAGCAGAACCATTTAGCAGTTTTTGCATATAGTACATCCCCAAAAACTTCAAAATTTTGTTTTATTATTGTGTTTAGCCCAGAATAGGCCAATTTATTTTGGGAAAAAATCTTCTGAGTACTCTCAATTTGTACTTTATAATCATTCAATCTTTGTAACTTTTATTTTTCAGATTTTTGGAAGATTCAGAAGAAAATGTACCAATTCAGCTTAGACAATGGTGGTGTCTCAGAAATACGGTTTGGTCCTCATTCTGTTTACGGTGAGTATATTGGTTTTATGTAAAACATTTGTTTTTGCTGGCCGATGTTAATCTTCTCAAGATTTCGAAAAATCATTGTTCACTCTGACCTTCTTTATTATTATGTTTTCATCTTTTTTATATAAAATAACTGGTAGCTGAGCACTCCATGAAGCATTTGTTGGTTTTATCGAACTTACAATTTAGATAAGAATGTAAACAGAGGACAAAGTTCCCATATTTAAAAAAATATTAGTGCGACTACTGACCAAATTGTAGATTCTCTCAATTAACTCTTTTGGATTTAAAATATATCACAAAGAGCCTATTGCGATAAACACAATAATAATTAAAAGACCTACAATTGCGACCCAACCTCTTACTAACAAGGCAGTTCTTAAATCTATAATTATTCTTCTTGAGACGATTATACTGTGACCTTCACGCATCGACACCTTACTATAATAGTACATAAATAATAAATTGTTACACGCACTGTGACAATTAAAATATACATACACGCATTCATGATACATCTGTCTTCTTTGTAGGAGACATACGAATACCGAAGAACAAAATTTGGGCGTGTTTTATCGTATTATCTACACAAAAGTATGGTTGTGTGGTTTTAAGTGTGGGAGAGCCATACTTCGGCACGAATGGGCCGGCTCGACCGGACCACGGCCTCAAAGAAAACCGACGTGAAACAATGCTTGCGTTGTGGTTGTGTTTCGTCGTGTGTGTGAGGTTACCCTCCAGTAATCGAGTCGCGGAGAACCTAACGGGTAACCGGGGCTCCGGCTCGACGTGCAGGAGAAGGAACGGGGTGGTTTTTAGTCAGTAAGAGTCTGACACTCCCTTCCGCCTCACCCAGGCGGGAGCAGTCATTCGATGATTTTCCCCCCTTAAAAAAAAAAAAATAAAAAAAAAAAAAAAAAAAAAAAACCCTCCAGTAATCCAAATACCCCTTCCCCAATTCCTGAATCCTCAGCAATCGTTAAATTCCTAATCCCAAAAGGCCGGTATCACACTTGCAATGCCTCTGGTATTCCAGGTGTTCATGTGCGACATCGATTATTAATGCAACGTCATTTAATTTTAACATGCAATTTTATTCGTCATTTAGAACATGTGTAACAGTACCCTTAATCTGGCTGGACTGTACTACTAGAAAAGATGCCTGTGTATCTTTTCATTCGGATGTTTCTTCAACTGTTCCCAATTTGCTATGGCTTCTGTCTAATATTTTTGTAGCTGATGAACTTAAAAATCGCGCACTCTACCGACTTCTAAATGAAACCTCCTCAAGCCATCTTTTTTCCATAAATAAATAAGCATCGTAATAATTATCATACGTTTTTATAATGTCTAAGAAACTTATAGCACCATCTATTGGTACGCTATGCATACTATTCAAATAATTTATTGAAAATTAATTCAAAATTTTGAATTGAAGGTTAGCATTGATGATACATTAACAGAACGGCCTTGAGTGACCTTGATAAGCCATTATTGTCTTTTAAGGCCATGGACCCATGTCCTCGTGATTATCACGAGTCTTAGGGCATGGTATTTGACGTTGTATCTTAGGCCAATATTACTCACTATCATGCTAAATGTGTTTCAGCACTTTCTTGTGACGTAAGTGGTGAAATGTAGGTGTTATAAATTTTTTCATTTGAATATTACTATTTGAATAAAGCCTCATATTCATTATATGAGGTTTTTTACAAATAGTTTATATCATTAAAAGTCCTTCAGTACAAAGGTAACATAAAAGATATGTGACGTTCATGAGAAAACGTTATTAAGTGGTGTAAGTTCAAAGAGTCAAGTAAAGCGTTTTTGTGTAATTATGTCGTCAGACGTTCATAGCACGTGTTCTATTATTGTTACGTATTGTATGGCGGCAACGTATCCTTTCGTACTTAGGCCACACACTGTCCGCAGGGGCGAGAACATGGAGAATCTAGTTGTAGTTGGGAACACCGAAGGGAAGAGATCACGTGGGTGTTCAACAAAGATATGGACCGATCAAATAAAAGGCTCGTCCTCAACATTTTGCTCAGCTATAAGAAGCGAACTAGATAGAAACTGCTTTCGGAGTCGCGGAGAACCTAACGGGTTACCGGGGCTCCGGCTCGAAGTGTAGGAGTAGGAATGGGGTGGTTTTTAGTCAGTTGAGTGAGAGTCTGACACTCCCTCCCACCTCACCCAGGCGGGAGAAGTCATTCGATGATTTTACCCCCTTTAAAAAAGACAGAAACTGCTAGAAGCAGATCAACTGCTCCACATACAATCCTGATGCTGACTACGATCCTCAGACATGAAAGAATGACAAGAGAGAGATAGTACAAACTGCAACAAACAATCCTTATTATTAGAATAGAGTAGTTTCCTTAAGTTTAATTTAATATACGTCTGGTAGATTAATTTAAAACATTAGACACGTGTTTTTTCTTCACTCACAAAATTAAATACTTTCGACGATATATTAATTTGAATTATCGCGTAACCTCCCACTCCTAAACTTAATGTCATTTTATGTAAGTATTACTTTGTACGAAAAAATAAAAAAATAGATGTCTAATATTTTTTCATTATCTAAATGTACCCGGTATATGGCAATAGGGTCACCCCCTATTACATGGGACTCATAACAGAAATAGTGAAAAGTGGGTGCTACATTGTACAGTGACATTAAGTGCCGAAATGTGCACTTCGGCATACCCCTTCGGGGATAAAAAGGCGTGATGTTATGTTATGTTAGTTTTGTCTCATAGCCGATTGAGTTAGTTATACAGTTTTGGGTAACTTGCAGTTATCTTTTATGTTAATGTTATCGAATAGGTATAAAATGGATAACAATTAATTTAAATATTATTACTGTGTAATAAAATTTATGTTTTGTTTATTGACTTTGTTGTATAATATGTTTTTGTTTACTTAACTTTGATAAACAAAACAAAAATTGGAATTGATTCCATTATGCTAAGAAGATGTTGTTAGGAATAGGGTTTTGATACGGAAACTTACTGCTTTGATATAGAGTCTAAAACTGTTTATGACATAAAAGACGTAGTGTAGGTTTTGTTAATGATTTTATTAATTATTCTGACCCCTAAATATTACTCAATTTAACTTAATTTTGTCTTGTATTGCATTTGTCATTGATTTAATTGTAGGTACTTTTTTTCGAATGGCTTGCCAAAGTATGTGCCCTCCAAAATTTATATTGTAGTGCCCGACAGAGTCCACTGTCCTAATTATGTGTACCACCTAAATCATACATGGGAAACTAATAAATTATTGAGTGTACACTTTTTTTTATTTAAATATTGCCTCGTTGTCCAAGTGGTCGCAATTGCGATGGCCGAGCAAGGGGTCTTGGGTTCGATTACCTGGTCGGGCAAAGTAATACTGAGTTTTTAAAACAAAAATCTCAATAGTAGCACGGAGCCTGCAATTTTGCCCGGTATATCGCAATAGGCTAAACCCTCTATTACATGGGACTTATAACATAAATAGTGAAAAGTGGGTATTACATTGTACAGTGGCATAACGTACACCTCTGCATACCCCTTCGGGGATAAAAGGCGTGTTGTTGTGTGTATTATTTTATATGTATTATTTTTGTCAACAATATCTAATTATGCCTATTCTTCCAGTTGTAACTGATCCAGATGACAGTCTAGTCGTCGCCAACACGTGCCTGAACAAACCATACTACTACGAATTTGCCAAGGAAATGTTTAATCGAGGACTCGTCACAGCTAGTTGTGAGTAAAAATTACAATAGTTTGACATATTTCGAAAATTAAACGTTGAATCACTTTGTACATGGCTATAGAAAAAAAAAACCTGATTCAGTGGATATTTTAACACACGCATTTGTTATTTATTTAAAACAGTCGATGTTCATATTGAGGTAGAAAAAGTGCTAAAAAATATCATGTTCTATAACTCAAAATAATAATGCTGCAAATAGGAATGCAATGATCTGACAACCGCTCGCCATCGACAGGGCGTTCACGCTCACACATTGGAGCCCAAATGGTCCCGTACAGAGTTTCAGAGGAATTTTCTCCCACAGACCCTCCGATTGTGGAATGACCTCCCTGCTATGGTTTTCCCAGTGGGCTACAACATGGGGTTCTTCAAGAGGGGAGTGAATAGGTTTCTTATAGTTCGGCAAGACGCATGTAATGCCCCAAGTCTTGCAGGCGTACATAGGCCACGGTAACCGCTTACCATCAGGTGTATCGTGGGCTTTCCTGCCACCGTCGTGGTATAAAAAAAACAACCATGCAGTTTATTGAGAAAGGCGGTGTGTTAATTTTTTCCTTTCAGTAACAACATGGAAGCCCCATAGAAGATTGTTGTACCCAGCTTTTAATATGCAAGTCCTGGCAACATTTGTATCGGAGTATAATACTCAGGCCCGGAATCTGGTCGAAGCGTTAACTTCTGAAGTTGGAAAGGAACCGTTCAATGTACGCCATTACTTGGTCAACCAATTGTTGAAAACTGTGTGTCGTAAGTATTTTCTAATTATTGCTAACTTGATACTCGATTAGATCATGGTAAGGAAGCAATAAAACCTGAATTATAAAGTGACTGGGAATACTCCAGGAACTAACTAAAATGAATTGTAGTTTGTATTGTTCTGGATAGATACTGAAATATTATACAAAGATTTTGCACTGATCTTAAGTAATACATAAACATATTAAACAGTTCATAAGATGTGATTGACTTGATACATAAAAGTAAAATATAAACGTTTAATAATATTTTTTTCCAGAAACTTCACTAGGATTAGAAACCAAAGACAAATCCATTGATGAAGACTACGCAAATGCTACCGAGGACCTCTTTATGTTATTTGTGGAAAGATTGAAGAAACTATATTTGCATTTGCCTTGGATATTCGCTTGGAGTTCTCTAAAGGCTAGACAAGATCAGCTGCTGAAGATCATGAATGACGCAATGTTTAGGGTATACAAATTAACTACATACATAATATATTATGTTGCTTATAATACTTCTACTTAAATGGTCGTCATTTTGTCAAAACAGACCTTTGTTCATAATTTCATTTAACTTTTATTTTGTGCTCTTGTTTTTATTAATTATTCTTTCAGGTGATTGATAGACGAAAAGCGGAATTGAAAGGAAATGTGGACAAAACCAAAACAGATATCAGAGGTTTGTTATCGAAGCTTATCATAATGAATGCCAATGATCGATCGTGGTTGCAATAGCGGCTAAGCAAAGCAATTATACAAGCAGTGAAATTTTGATTTGTTGCAGATGTAAAATTTAAGCCACTTCTTGATCAACTGCTAGAACTATCTGACACACAAGATGCTCTATCAGATGCTGAGATTAGAGAACATTTGGATACTGTAGTGGCAGCCGCTTATGATACTACATCCATAGCAGTTACGTATGCATTGATATTATTAGGAACCTATCCAGAAGTACAAAACCGTGCTTATAAAGAGTAAGTAAGAAGACAGCTATTTTAAAATAGATAAAATTTTTAAGAGACACCATTGTTGATAATATAATTAGTCCTATACGTAATTCGATATAGTCTTGTCTTAATCTTACTAAATGAGATTGGAAAGTTAAAATATTTTAGAACTATATTACGTATAACCAATTTCACCGAACACCCCTAAACCATTTAATTACTAAGAGTTATTTATCGTGAAGGAACTCCTAAACATGTGCCATTAGGTGTCACTTATAGTTTAGTACAAGCCAAAATTCACTTGTCTTAGCTTAGGGGTTTCAACTTTCTAAGAGAGCTGGGGGCATCACTGATTTAAATAAAGTTTGTTATGACATATTACTTAATGGTACTATTTCCATTTACAGGGTTCAAACAGTACTTGGAGATGAAGATAAAGATTTTTCCAAAGATGATCTGCAGCGGTTAGTGTATTTAGAAGCAGTTTTGAAAGAAAGTATGAGAATGTACCCGTCTGTTCCTTGTGTAGCGAGAAGTATAGAAGCCGATGTAAAGTTAAGTAAGTACTTTGATAGTAAAGCATTATTTTTGTTATGAGGACGACGGATTTTTTTTATATAATTATATTTGAAGGGCCGAAATTTGACTACTATCTCATCCGGACGTAAGCGATGATGTTTCTAAGATGTAGTACGTCGTCCCATAAGCAACCTATTCACTTGGACCTTGAAGACACCCAGGAAAACCCTTCGAAAATACAGAATCTGGGAAAGATTACCTTATGATAAGCAATCACTGCCGCTAATGGATACTCGCAACACTCTGGTGTTGCGACATAATTATTTTGACATGAGTTGCGTGAATGTTGTCGATATTTTGGTTATTTGGAGATGAGGGAATAGGAAGATTGTGTCTCTGGTAATCTAACGCACACAACGTAAGCGTTGTTTCATGTCGGTTCTTTGCGAGACCGTTGTATCACTGCGATGCGATAAAAACCCGACCCATTTGACTCGAACCATGACTCTCCCATGTTTTTTTTATGGGATAAGTCGGTAAACGAGCAGACGGATCAGCTGATGATAAGCAATCGGCGCCGCCCATAGGCATAGACACCTGAAATACCAAAGACGTTACAAGTGCGTTACCTGCCTTATGGGAACTGTGAATTTGTAGATTGTGGGGGATTCCGGGATTGTGAAGACTGAGGAGGCCCCCTCCTCATTATAATTGGGCCTCCGGTAACCTCAATCACACGACGAAACACAATGAAAACCGTTGTTTCACGTCGGTTTTCTGTGAGGCCGTGGTATCACTCTGGTCGAGCCAGCCCATTCGTTCCGAAGCATGGCTCTCCCACACTTATAGTGTGTATAGTATGTGTATAATAAACGCTTAAACAATTTTAAAATGCTCACAACGTCTTTTTGTTGTAGAAAACTACACATTGCCAGCTGGTGCATCTTGTATGATATCAATATATGGACTGAATCATCATGCAATTTGGGGTCCTGATGTGAATCAGTTCAAACCGGAGCGATGGCTGGACCCATCAACCTTGCCTGACAACCCTAATGTTTTCTGTAGTTTTAGTATAGGTAAACGCAACTGTTTAGGTAAGGCATCAATCAATTTACCAAAATTATATTTGGGATGATGACAGAAATAAAAAAATATTAGACATGTATTTTTTTCCTTTCAATACTTAGATAAAACGAATCAAAGTTCAGGAGTGGGGGCTAAAACGCCATTTCTACGTATAAAATGTTCATAGAAGTGACGTCACGCGACATTTCAAATAAATATACCGTCGAAAGTATTCGTTTCTGTAAGACAATAAAAAATACGTGTCTAATTATTTAAAATAATCTACCAGACGGACATGAAAATAAAAATTAGGCATCTACCGTGTTGTAAGAGAAAATAAATAATTATAATGTTCATAACGAATAGTTTGCCCACAGTCTTTACATAATATTGTAAAGTTGTTGATGGCATAATGCATAGTTATGCGACCAAATGTATCTTTGTTTAGTCTCTGTCAGTTGCATAGTAAATGCATATTTTTAAAATAAAATCTATCGTCTTTTATAGGTCGTCTATACGCCATGCTGGTGATGAAAACGATGTTAGCGCACGTACTCCGCAAGTTCCTGATCATCAGTGATATAAACAGTATCACAACACAATATGACATCCTAATAAAACCAGCTGATGACTCACAAATACGTTTGGAATTAAGGTCGGGATAGTAAATTATTTAATTTAGTATGGTCACAATTAGAATTGGGCTACTTTAATTAAATTTAATACTTTTTTTAACCGAAAGTGATTTTTTTTTTCAACTATCCCAGCTCCCCTATTTTTAAAGACAAATCTGATTTGTTGGAAGTTTCCTGCACATGGACACCCAATTTCATAAAACAATTAACCATTTTTGGCTCTGAAATGAAAAGTAGGTAGGTACCTGAGTTCACCAAAAAAATAAAAATGTATAAAGCTAACGAATAAAGCTAAACAAAATCTAATCCAGTCAGTATCTTTTCACAAAATAATTAGGTGTTAATGAAAGGAGTATCCGAAAAAGGAGGATTTAATAATGGCTACTGAGATCAATTTCACAAAACGCCGGCTGATTATGTTCCCTCATTTCGCTCCGCAATCTGGCCGCGTTTCTAATTGTATTATTAAGGCGATGTTCTATAATAACTCAAATTAATAGCAGTTGCTAGTCTGTGATTAATGGACGCTTTTCAACAAAAACGTTTGAATTGCATGCTTTAAGTCGGGGATAATATTTTTAACACTTTTTTATTTTCGCTTGACCAATTTGATGGTCATGAAAGAAGGTAATATTAAGGCCTATGTTGACATTTTTAGGTTGATATTTCGGTAGTGATTTAGTTTTTAGCTCAAGATGTTGATAATACAATTAAACTTGTCGAATTCCACGTCAAATAATTACGTGAGTAAGCCGAAAAATATAATAATTAATTTAGTATGTCTCACGAATTTTGTTAAAAAACTACTTTTTTTATTTTAAACTTAGTCAATGTATCATGTAGAAATCTAAATAAAAAATAAATGTACTCATATTTCAGATCCATTCGATCATGGTCGCTATTTTAATCTTCAAGTCAGCTAGTTAGTTGTTTCGACTCAGACCCTCACTGTCGAATTTTCAAAGTTATTCTTCAGTTCAAATTTATCTGGCGTTAGAAAAATCGGAATAGAAACACTCGAAATATTGAAAGGCAATTTTAACTTATACTTACATATCGTGCCATCTCTGTCATTTTACAAAGAATTTGTAGTGACAAAACTGTACTTGCTTACGAACTAGTGATTTAGGGATGACGTGCAGTTTTTGAATAGGGTTTTCAAATTTATTTGAATTAAATATAGAAAAGAATCAGAGCTTTCATTTCTATTTATTGTTAGTCAAACCAATTATGATCTTATTTATATGAAAACTAAAGTAGATAGTGTGTTGAAACATCGATTTCCATTAAACGTACCACATCAAATATACTGGAACACCCTCGTCGATTTAGTGGTTCCACTCTCATACCATTTGAGTACCACTTAGGTGCAATTTTGGTTATATGCAATTTTAATTTAATTTCAACTTACTTAAACATGTAAGAGGGTCTACTATCTATTGAATTTGATACTATACTCAATCGCAACATAAAAGTGAGTGGCGTTTAAGTATTTGGGCATCAAACTGTATTACCTTAAATAAACATTATTAACTCGTCGAGTACCGGTTTTATAGACACAATTAAAGAACAATAGGTCGCGGTCACCGGTGACCGCTTGGTGTTTGACAGATTAAGAAGAAAACATAGATGAGCTGCGCGACATCGCCGCGACCACGCACGCTACTCATGAGGAAGAACCCCTCTGTGGTTCGAAACTAGTAGAGCTTTTCTCAGTATATTCACGTAAGTAACCCACGGTTTTAGATAATTTAGTATGTCTCACGATAGTTTTTATACAAACATTATTAAGAAGAATTATAATTCATATTCATTTCAAATTTTATTATCAACCGTCCTCTCAACACCACAATAAATTCTTTTCAAACCACTGACAACAGAACAGCCCGTTGTTTGGCGAGGACGTAAATGAAGCTAACCAAGATCGTGGCATGTTAAACATTATCTGTTCGTGATTGATGGGTCCGAGCCTCGAACCCAGATCTACACGGGTCACTGGATAGCGCATCCACCAATTTATTTTGTGAAGTTACCATAAAAAAGGATTTGTGAAAGTCGATTTGTTGGCGTATTGCATTCGACGTGGTTAGATTTGTGATTTATAAGTTAGTGTTTTGTTTTTGTAATATGTAATGTAATTGTTTTTAATCATAATAGTTAGTTTAATCGGTTAGTTTTTTTAGCTTATTGTCGTAACTGCTCGACCGGGTTACTCAACTTATTTCAATCTTCGCTGGGGACCCATAATTATGAGTGTTAACTTTATCGAACGGTTAGAGTTACGTACAATTTGATTCATTTGCTATTCCTTTGTAATTATTCCATACTATTTACATATAGTAGGAGTACATATAGTACCTAATATTATAGATAAATAATACCTTAGTAATCATTCACTCAATTTGTAAATCGAAACTTTTTTTTATGGGCGAAAATTATGCAATTAATTCTCCAGCCTTGGGCAAGGCAAGAGGGAGTGTCAGACTCTTATTGACTAAAAACCACCTATCGAGATCGAATCTAAAGGCAGTAGCATTCTCACATGACAAAACCGTCAACTAGGAAGTTCCAATCCAATGTAATAGTTTCATTCACAAATTGTTATCTGTTATATAAGCTGAGTACAAAAACAATACATAGTTATTCTTATTAGCTACAGTTCCCGATACAGTCGTAATAATAACTCTACAACAATGTTTGATGCCATTAATATGCGTAACTTGTTCCTTCAAAGACATTTACATAAACTTAACTAGAACCGCTGGTGGCAATGTTAAGTACGTGACCTAAGGTTCGATCTCCAGGTTTTTTTTAAGAGAGGAAAAGCATCCAATGGCTTCTCCTGCCCGGGTGAGATGAGAGGCAGTGTCAAACTCTTATTGACTAAAAATCACCCCGTACCTACTCCTGCACTTCGAGCCGGAGCCCCGACAACCCGTTAGGTCCTCCACGACTCTGTATCGGCATCAGCCTTATTGGGTCCCATCTGTGGTGGTCGAATGGCTCTTTGAGGTGCGCGCGGAACGTGACACGCCACGCCGTACACTCAGGTTGATCACCGGGTTGGGCGAAGGATTATAATTTTTTTTGAATAAGAAAAGTGCTTTTGTTGTTCCTGTGGATGTGAATGCGACTGCTGAGCAAGCGGTCCTGGGTTTGTTGCCCTTGTTAGGCGAAGTTATTGATATTTTTTTTTAATCTAGAGATACCTAAAAATATGATTCCAGTTTGACCTTTAGGTATCCATGTATGTATGTATGTTTGTCTGCGATTGTCTGAACCGATTTTGATGCGGATTCAAAAATGTATTAGTTATACTTAGAGCTGGTTTTCGTATATTAACAAAAATGAGGTTGAAGGCGGTTTATTTAAAATGAAGTTTTTTGGAATATATTTGCTTTTTGATTTGTCAAAACGACCTCTAGCTTCATGACCTCTGAGTTTTGAAAGATTCATAAATAGTATGTAATATAATATATGAAAATATTATATATAGAGATCTGTTATCTACATTTTATAATTAGAGGTACATGAACATTTGGTACATGAACACCCTTTGGGATTTTAAGACACTACATTATATTATGTTAACTCTTACGTCTAACAAAATAAAAGGCACCATCTTCCATTGCAAATACAGTCTTCGTTAAAATAAAATGCACCTACAAAAGCATTGTCCATTCTGTCCACTCGTACTTCAGAAAATAGTTTCTTGTTTTACCAGCAGATCAAACTACACTTTCCTGTCAAATTTTTTTAAGCGATTTTCAACTTTATAGCTCAGATGTAAAGTCGAAAATTCGATAAAAGATATTGTCAGGTTCGAGTAGGTTAATATGCTGTTGTATTTACAGTCGTGACTAGACTAATAGTTCGGTGTTGTATTGTGGGTTGTAGACAGCACGTGTTCTCTCTGCACTGGATTAAATAAAGTATTGGTGAAAGAATTGTACCTGTATTTCGATTAGTGTCCCAGTAGAATTATTTAACTGGATTTTGAAATGGTATTTTGAAGCAAATTATTTTTCACAAATATGTTTCGGGGTTTACTATCGTAGTTACCTACGTGAATGCTTAATTGTGAAAAAAAGAAAAGTCTTTGTTGCATCTAGGAGAAGTTTTTTTTTAGCGTTGCCTCACATTAGGATTTTTTCCTGTGTCTTGGGTACGTTTACAAACATACAAGTTCACATACACAATGACACCTAGACCCGAAACAACAATTTGTGGGTCACACAAAGTGTTGTTCCGTGCGGGAATCGAACCCGCAGCTCGTTGCACGGCAGCCGGTTACCCAGCCACTGCACCAACCGTGCAGTTGGTTTTTGTTAACATTAAATAACAGATTTCCAAAAAAGAGCGAGTTATAGTCGGTTTTTAAAATATACTTTCATAACTAACTAACATCAAATCGTAGACCGCATCATGGCTTACCACCAGGCGAGATAGTGGTCAAACGTCGGACCATCAAATACAAAAAATAAAATAAAAAAACATGCGAAAGTCCGTCACAGATTATTCTTGATTTTTACAATAAAATAAAATCTACGGCTCTTCCAGCTATTAACAAAAATCACGTCACTACAAACGAACATCACACTCTATGATTGATGGAAACAGGACCTACTAAAAATGGATAAAATTCGCGTTAAGGCTACTGAGTAGAGGGAACCGACGGACTCAAGCCTCGCAAGGGGCCTCAACATTTGCATATTATCTTCTCCACCAGGCTTCATTTTGTTTTTGTCTTTTTGGAAAGCTATTTTTAGAGTCTTTTGTTTATAAGGAAATTGTAAAGCTATTTAAATTTGGGTTCAACTCAGCTATTTTTACTACTATTTTCTATGAGTAAAAGTATTGTTAGAAGGTTTTGTATTGAGTAGAAAAAATGTGTTAATGAATGACCTACATGTATTAAAAATGTTAAAAAAATCTCAGTATTAGCACGGAGTCTAAAATTGTGCCTGGTATATGGCAATAGGCCCTATTACATGGGAGTTATGTGTATTAAAAGAGATCAAATATACAGA